TCCCTTTCTCTCTGGTTTTTTTTGTTTTTTAAAGATTTTATTTTTCCTTTTTCTCCTCAAAGCCCCCCGGTACATATTTGTGTATTTTTAGTTGTGGGTCCCTCTAGCTGTGGCATGTGGAACACCGCCGCAGCATGGCCTGATGAGCGGTGCCATGTTGGTGCCCAGGATCCGAACCAGCAAAACCCTGGGCCGCCGCAGTGGAGCCTAAGAACTCAACTACTCGGCCACGGAGTTGGCCCCTCTCTTTGCTTTTTTAACTTTGTTTTTTCCCAATTAAAAAGGTAGTAACATGTTCATTGTAGGAAGTGAGGAAAACATAGAAAAATGCAAAGAAAAATTAAATCATCTGTAACCCTATCACATGGAGATAACCTTTAACATGTTGGTATAAAGGCAAAAACTGTGTATATATTTAATTTACAAGCTTGGATTTATGTTTCAATAATTTTTCACCTTTAAAGTCTCTATTAGGAGACTTTTCTCATTCTAAAATTCATTTTAGGGGCTGGCCCCGTGGCCGAGTGGTTAAGTTTGTGCGTGCACTCCACTTCAGGGGCCCAGGGTTTCACCAGTTTGGATCCTGGGTGCAGACATGGCACCGATCCCCAAGCCATGCTGTGGTGGCGTCCCACACAGAAGAACTAGAAGGACCTACAACTAGAATCTACAACTATGTACTGGGGCCTCTGGAGACAGGAAGGAAAAAAAATTTAAAAATTTAAATTCATTTTAGCTAATCCCCATAATTAAACATTTATTTTCCATTTTTGTACTATTAATAATGCAGCAGTGAACTTTTTGTATAAATTTGTGGCCCAATCTCTGGTTATTTCTTCAGAATGCCACTTGATTTTAATCCTGAGACGGGCTACTAAATCAAGAAAGCACAGAATAATGCTATTATTTTTGTTTTCACAAATACTTAAACAAGGAACCTGTTTTCTTGGAAGTTTTTCCCACAGACTATTGAGGGGGTTGACTGTGTGGATACCCTGTGGGGCTGCCAGGCCAAACCCCACGTCGCTCTGTGGCCACCGAGCGACCACTGGAGCGGGACAGCAGAGCACAGCCATCCCGAGGTACGAGAGGGTCTGTGCGTGTGAGGGCAGGAACGCTTGAGACAGACAGGGCAGCTTGGCAAAACAGGTGTTTCCTCTCTCCTGTGAATACAGTCACTCCAAGGCTAGTGTGGCAGCTCTGGTGCTCAGACTCTGGCTGTTATCCATCCTCAACTCGAACATGGGCCTTCCACCTCACGGGCCGGGTAACTGCCCTGGCTCCATCCATTGCATCCTCATTCCATTCAGCTGGAAGGAGAGAAGGAGACAAGCATCCACTCTCCCTTTAAAAGGATATTGCCCATTTCCACTTCCCATTGGCCAGAACTGAGTCATATGGCCGCAGCAAAGGCTACTGGGAAAGTCATCATTTCGGTGCCCACATGCCCACCTCCAAATCTAGGGTTCTCTTATAGAATTTGGAAAGAATGGACATTGAGGCATAACAAGTGGTCTGCCAAAAAATGGCAGGATCTCTGCTATAAAAAATATGTGAGAATTTTTAAAAGAGAAATTATTTTCTACTGAGGAGGCTTCATGAAAGGTGCATTTGGGTTGGACCTTGAAGAGTCAGGGCAGAAATCCAGGGAACCTGGTAGCCAGTGCTGCTCAAAGCGGGGGCCTCTGAGACCACCTGGGAGCTGGTTAGAAAGAAGAGCCCCATGCTCCACCCAGACCTGCCCAATCAGGACCAGGGGCAGGCACCGACCCGGTTCTAACAAGCTCTCCAGGTGATTCTTAGACATGTGAAAGTTCGAGAACCGCTGTCCTAAGGGAGGTGGTGTGCCCCAGGCCTCGCTCAGTGGGCACAGGTGAGATGAGAACAGTGGGGACAATGGGTTAAATTTCTCATAGAGGTAAAATGATTCCTTGTCCTTTATTTGGAAAATCCTTACTAGTTTTGTCTTTGTGGCAATGATCTTTTTGTTGTTTCTTAAAAAGTTGGGGACCATAGACAGTAGGAGTTGAGGTCTTCTTAGGTGTCCTTCCTTGGACAGCCCGATGTCAGTCCACAAATGTGTCTTTGGAATTTTACTGGTCCATGGAACCCAAAAATCCAGGACTCCTGAGCCGTGGGATGAAAACAGAAGCCTTGGGGGTGTTTGGAGAGCAGCTGTAGTTCCGGTTCACTGGAGCTTCAGGTCACAGTTAGGGCACTTGGATTCCCAGGACCAGGGAGGACAGGCGAGTGTATGGAGGGGCGTGCGTAAGCCAGTCGGGGACTGCTTAGGGATGCGGAACCACAGGGGCCGAGACGGCCTGTGCTCTGGGAAGAGGGACCTGGCTGCTGGTGGGGTTGGAGGTGGAGAGAGTTTATGAGCAGAAGGGCTCTCAGCTCAAGGAGGCACGCTTCTGTGGTGCCCTAGGCAGCTTGCCATAAGCATTTACAACCAAATAACACCAGGTGATAGCCGGATTCATTCCCACTTAAAACCACAGCTGTCTGCCTAGCTGAACACAATGCTTAAAAAATGACTCTCAAGTGCTAACTGCTGGAAAGTCTGTCCGATGACAGACACACATCCCTACCCTGTGGCAGCCCCATTTGGACCACTGCCTCGCCCACCTCTCTCCTCTCCCCTCCCATAAACTGTCTACGCTAGAGGAGGTTGGGATAGTTGATCTATGAGGCACTGATGCTTTACAGCTGAACTTTAAATGCACATTGGCCTGAATTCAGGGAAACAATTCATACTGTACCTTGGTTTTCTCCCTCCTGATTTTCCCCATCAGTTGTGAATTTACCAAGCTGTGTAATGATGGCTACTTCCGGCAAAACCACAGTTTTTCCTCCTTGTGATCTGAAGTTGAGTGGCATTTCCGGGTTCATGGTCCCGTGTATCTTGGGGACGTCTTTGCCTGTAATTTATACCGGGTCTCCATTTTCTCTGAACCTGGAAGGTTTGAGCCACTGCTATACATGCTAGCCTGGAGGTCCCACTTGCTCTTAGTGCTTGAGGTCAAGACCACAGTTTCAGCTTCACCCCCTCTACAGAAGGGCCAGGGGTGTCATTCACGGTCCTTCTCATCTGAGGATGCTGTGCGGGAGCAGCCTTGTTCCACTTGCAAGAGGGCTAGGATGGACTTGACTCTCCCCTGTCCCTTCCATGCAGGGCCTTAGGAAAGCCAGGGCCCCTGTCTGGGCTCAGCTGTGCAGCACCTGGAAGAAAGTCAAGACAGCTGATTCCACGAGGTGCCTGGACAGGCATCCTAGCCTTCCACATTCCCTCAGCCTGTTATCCAGTGCTGCCAGCTACAGACACCATCCGTAGTCTCATGGAGCTAAGTCTGGCTCAGGGTACACACAAGTGAACAGGCGATCACAACTCAGAGGCGTCAGTGTCTTGATGGAGGAAGCACAGGCTGTGATGATGCAAACTCCTCGACCCAAGTACAGGGTGAACCCAGTCAAGCCTGTAGTAACTGGACATACTGGTCGACTGCGTCTTACCTGCTTTGGCGCTCCTAGCCATTCTTCCACATCTTGGCTCATCTCCCCTTTAAAAGGAGCTTAGGAGCTGGTCCCATGGCCAAATGGTGAAGTTCGTGTGCTCTGCTGCAGCGGCCCAGGATTTCTCTACCTCGGATCCTGGGTGCAGCCATGGCACCGCTCATCAAGCCATGCTGAGGCGGCATCCCACATGCCACAACTAGAAGGACCTGCAACTAAAAATATGCTGTGTACCAGGGAGGTTGGGGGGGGGGGGGGGGGGGGTAAAAATTTTTTTAAAAATCTAAAAAAAAAGCAGCTTAAATTTCACCGAGGCACATGGTTGCTGTAAGGCTTGAGGCGTGCACTGGCTGATAAACATGACTGTTACTCATCTGGGGTTAAGAGCACAAAACGCGCTTCCTACCTCCAAGTGGAGGCTGCAAAGCATCAGTCAAGAAACAACCCCTGTCGTGTCACCAGCAGCTCATGCCAGTTTCATCTCCCTGCCTTGGCATGCGAAGAACTACACGTGTAGAGCAATTAGCATTTAATATTTGGTAATTAGCATGCTTAATATGATTCAGAGAAGTTACTTGACATTTTCGTAAAAACAGAACGCACATTCTCGCCCTTCAAGGAGCAAGGCCCAGTTTGTCAAAAAACTGCATGCCAGTCTTTTTGGGTGCTGAATATGCATGTGTTGGCCTCTTCTGGGACACTGCTGGTAAATTTAGAAACTCGTTTAGAAGAGAACTCCTTCTTATTCAGCAGCCATAATACCCTCTTGGATCAGAGACTCTAAGCGAAAATGGCTAAACCGAGCTTCAGTCTCGGGGCTGTGATGGTCCTTTTCAAGTAAATGAAAACCTTCCGTGCGCCCCCGACAAACCACACACTGTTCAAGTCCAACAAGGAGCCAAATGTGGGGACGCGGCGAGAGATACAGTCTACCCCATCGCTCCAGCGCAACAACGTAACTCTTCGCCCGACAATGTAGCCGCCGGCTCCCGTTTCTCCAGCCCAAAGGCTCGAGCCGGCGTTCCGCACGTCCCACGCTCGGAAACTTCGCACCGAGGCCGAGACGTCAACTCAACTTTCCCGTCCCGAGTCGGGCACCCTTTCGATCCCTCTCTGCGGCCCTCGGTGCCTCCCGGATCCCTGGGAGGGGGCAGGGGCGCTGGGGCTTCACCGCCCGGTCGGCGCGGGGCCGGACGAAGGACCCGGACCCCTTCCGCCGGCCCGCCCCGGAACCCACCCCGCGGCCGGAGCCCGGCCCCCCGGCCCAGGCCCCACGTGGCCCCTCGGAGCCGGCCGCACTACCCTGCTGCCGCCGACGGACGGCTGGGCCGGGCCACTGGGCGCCGCGCTGCCGGCCGGCGGCCAATGAGCGCGCTCGGAGCGTCGGCGGGGGCGGTGCCGCGGAGTCTCCGCCCACCCGCGCCCGCTTCACCATTGGAGGCTTTGGGTCCCGCCCCCGCCCGCAGGCACCGCCCCGCCGGTCGGGTTAGGTTGAGGCGCGGGCGGCAGGCAGATCTGGTCCCGTTGTGCTGCGGCTCCGCGCGGCCTTCAGTCCCGGGCCCGCGCCTCGCGCTGCCGGTCCGCCCGCCATGGAGCCCGGCCCCGACGGCCCCGCCGCCCCCGGCCCCGCTGCCATCCGCGAGGGCTGGTTCCGCGAGACATGCAGCCTGTGGCCCGGCCAGGCCCTGTCCCTGCAGGTGGAGCAGCTGCTCCACCACCAGCGCTCGCGGTACCAGGATATCCTTGTCTTCCGCAGGTACCACCGCCGGCCCAGCCCCGCGCCCCCGCGACGGCTCTCAGCTCAGACCGCCCGCTGCCCACCCCCGCGCGAACCAGCCGGGGCTCCTGCCCCGATCCCGGCCCAGACCACCCTCTTCCTGCTAGACCCCTGTCATGCGCCCTTTACCTCTGGACGCCCGCAGCTGTCTCTGCCCGTCCCTCCTCCTGCAAAACTGTCATAAGTTCTCATGAACTAGGCCTGTCACCTCCCTGGGTCCCCTCCCAGCCCTGCATCCTGTCTCCCTGCGCTGGGGGCCGGCATTTCGGGCGGTCCTCTTCGGCGGGGAGGGAGCCGGAGTCTGCGCCGACCCAACGCGCTCAGCTCCACGTGTCAGTCCGGGACACGTCAGAGCCGGGACCCCGAGTCCAACCCCAGCCCCCAGCCAGCGGGCCTGCCTGCCGATCCTCGCCACGTGTCACCTCCAGTACTCACCCCTGGAACCCCTGGGCAGGTTGGGGGAGATTCTTCTCACCTAGGGCGACTGGGGGAACGGTGCCCCGACCCCAGGGGAACCAGGTCCCTGACTGTCACTCCTGCCTGCAGTAAGAGCTACGGCAACGTGCTGGTGTTGGACGGCGTCATCCAGTGCACAGAGAGGGACGAGTTCTCCTACCAGGAGATGATAGCCAACCTGCCCCTCTGCAGCCACCCCAACCCACGCAAGGTACCCCGCTCCCCCTGAGATTCACCCTGAGCCTGGTGATAGGAAGCCCAGCCCTCGGTGTCCCACAGAACAGTTCTGGAGGCCCCAGATGTGCCTGGTGCTCAGCCCAGGTGCTTCCTAAGTGGTTGTCAGAGAAAGTGCTAGCAAGGACAAGGAGGGGTGGGGGAGCAGCCCATTTCACAAGGGGGTGAACGGCTGCAACAGTTCTGGCTGAGGCCTGAAGCTTAGAGGGAGCAGCCCTGGGAGGCCTTTCCAGGAAAAGGGGACACCTGGTGCCAAGTTCCTGAGGCAGGAAAGTGTTTCTGAGAGTAGAAAATGAAGTAATGAGGCCTGTGGATCAGAGGAGTAGAGATACACACCCTTGTTCCAGATGGTTCTGCGTGAGTGCATCTGCCCAGTGCTGGCTGGGCCCTGCTCCTGACTGTGCCTCCCCCTCCCAGGTGCTGATCATCGGGGGCGGGGATGGGGGTGTCCTGCGGGAGGTGGTGAAGCATTCCTCCCTGGAGTCCGTGGTCCAGTGCGAGATTGACGAGGTGAGTGCCGGGAGTGTGGCCAGGATCTGGTTCCAGTTGCCATTCTGCCCTGAGTTGGCCCTGGACCCTTGGGCAAGTCGCTTAATATTTCTAGGCACACAGTAGGTGTGCCATGATGCCTGTTCTTAGTAAGGCTAAGAGCTGGTTTTTAATTCAAGTTTTAGGCATGGCCCAGGGCCTCCCAATCACTAGAGCATCTGCCCATTACACACAACATGCTTTTAATGAGCGTCGACCATGTGCAGACATTGCTCTAGGTGCTAGGGTACATGGTGCGTGGACGGGGCCAGTCCTGCCCCCTTGGACCCGATGGAGGAGACATCAGAGAGTGATCTGATGAAGGCATGACAGGGGCAGGGGGGTGAGAGGAAGAGGGGGAGAGTGGAGGCTGGTCAGGGCAGGCCTCCAGGAGAGGTGGGTTTGAGCTGAGGCCTGAACAGGAAGCAGCTGGCCACGCGGAGGCAGGCGAAGGTTCTCCTGGCCGAGGCTGGAATTACTACAACCCTCTGAAATAGCAAGAAAGCCATTCGGATGGGCGGTTGGGCTAGGGGCTGGAACTGGGATGGTGGAGATGCTGCCGAGCAGCAGCGGGCAGGAGCCAGCCCTCCATGAGGGGCTGAGGGAAGGGGGAGGTACCGGAGTGCTCCCCATCTTACAGATGTGGGAACCGGGTATCCACAAACTGGATGGCTTGCCCGAGGTGACTGCGCTATACGAGGGACTGCTGGGAGTGCCCCTCCACTCCGACTGCCTCCAGTGCCCCCAACCCCCATGGCCCAGCCTGGTCCCTCCCATCCCCTCCCCAGGATGTCATTCAAGTCTCTAAGAAGTTCCTGCCTGGCATGGCCATAGGCTACTCCAGCTCAAAGCTGACCCTACACGTGGGCGACGGCTTTGAGTTCATGAAACAGAACCAGGATGCCTTCGATGTCATCATCACTGACTCCTCAGACCCCATGGGTAAGCAGGGGATGGGCCCGGGCCCTCTGGCGGCCTCCAGTGCGAAGGCCAGCCTCCCTGTCTGTGCCCAGGCCTGACCGCAGGGTAGAGAACAGGGGCCCTGGACCTGGAGCTGCACTTTCTCAGGTGCACTTTTCCCCATCAAATCTGACTATGCAGAGCAGGGGGACCAGGCTGCTGCCCAAAGTGCAGAAGGTAGTTGGGAACCTGGAAAGAGTGGGGCTCTGGCCTTGGCCCACTGAGGCCCCAGTTTCTTCTTCAGCCACTTCTCCGCTCTTGATAGACCAGTGTCAGGGCTGGGGTGGGATCGAGTCCCAATGCAGGTTGGAAATTCCCCTAGTGCCGTGCCAATGAAAATGCCCCAGGAAGGGAGTTAAAATGTGGACCACCCTCAGATACTGGGGCAATGGGTCCCTGCACCCCTCAAAAACACCCTTGGTGGGTTTCTGAATTCCACAGATCTGGGTTCAAATCCTGGCTCTGCCCCTTCACAGCCATGTGGGTCTGTGTGGTGGGGTGACAGTGGCCCTTGCCCCCGCCAGTGCCAGGCTCAGGAGGCCTCAGCCAGCCTGTGTTCCTTATCCCTCACCCCTCCTGCCTCCCCACAGGCCCTGCTGAGAGTCTCTTCAAGGAGTCCTATTACCAGCTCATGAAGACGGCCCTCAAGGAAGACGGCATCCTCTGCTGCCAGGGTGAGCGGGCCTCCGCAGGCAGGAGGGTCCAGGCCGGGCGGGCAGGGCGGTGCCAGCTGCCCGATGCTGATGCTGCCGACCCTCCCCAGGCGAGTGCCAGTGGCTGCACCTGGACCTCATCAAGGAGATGCGGCAGTTCTGCAAGTCGCTCTTCCCCGTGGTGGACTACGCGTACTGCACCATCCCCACCTACCCAAGCGGCCAGATCGGCTTCATGCTGTGCAGCAAAAATCCGGTGAGCTCCTGGCTCTGTTGGGGATGGGAGGGAGGCAGATGGGCACAGAGAGCACTGCCCTGATGCCCCCTGCCCCCGTCCCCAGAACACCAACTTCCGGGAGCCCGTGCAGCAGCTGACGCAGAAGCAGGTGGAACAGATGCAGCTCAAGTACTACAACTCTGCCGTGCACCAGGCGGCCTTTGTGCTGCCCGAGTTTGCCCGCAAGGTGAGTGCCTAGGGGCCAGGACAGCGGCCCAGGGCTCCCTGAGGGGCCACCTCGGCCCCCTCACTACCTAGCGTCCTACTGACGAGGCCTCCTGTCCCACCAGGCCCTGAATGATGTGAGCTGAACCCACGCACCGCTGCTGCCGCTGCCTGGGACCTGGGGCCCCGGAGCCCCCAAGGCGCCTGGGCCCCGCCAGCCCTGGACAAGACCCCCGCCAGCGTGTCCACCAACTGAGTGTTACAGGCCCCGGAGTGCTGCCTGGCCTGCCCTGCTGGGCGGACTGTCTGTCTCCTCCTCTCTGTGTGGCGTTCATCCTCCAGCCTGTACCGGCTGTGTACAGCTCCACCTCCACCTGTCGCCCCTCACTCACCAAACACGTGTATTTATAACTAAGTTCTGAATCGTGTGTCCCCAGACCTTGAATGAGCCCAGGCAGAGGCTCCATCAGCCATTATTGGGCGCTTCGTGTGCCAGCTCTGAGCTGGCCCTGGTTCTGGCCTCCGAGTTTCTGTCACGTCTGAATACGCAGGCCAGGCCCTTGACCTCTGGCATCAAGGAACACGACAGTCATCAAACTGGACTCAAATCTGTCCCAAGAAGCTGCCTTAGCATTCCTTCACCAAGGTCCCACAGGCCAGCGCTGAAAGACCCCTGGGGCCAGGGCTGTACAGTTGACAAGATCATGGTGGGGCCACCCCAGGGCTTTGCTTGTCCTGAGGCTGCCCTGCAGCCTTCTTGGAAGAATGTGGGTCGTGCAGGATTGTCTGGCCCCATCCTGGGGTGGATGTTAGAGGTGCCCGGATGCTGGCTGGGGCTTGGTCAGGGTCCATTCCTTGGGCCTGTTTAAGCGCATCAGGTGTGCTGACTTGGCTCAGGATTCAGACCTGAGTTCTAATCCTGCCTGTCCCCGTCATGGGTGCCCTCTGGTAAATTCCTAGAAGCTCCCCTCCAGTGTTGGGAGGCTGAGAAAGCAGGTGTGAGTGGCCACACCGGGTATCTGGGCACAGGACTGTCCCCTCTCCAAGGTGCTGAACCTCCAGCCTGTGCCTGCCCACTCCCAACCACCAGGACTGAGGCTCTGGTGGGAAGGGAGCCAGCACAACAGGGTACAATGGGGGAGGGGGCCTCTAGCCCACTCCTGTCTCTGGATCTGCAGGAAAGGGCCCTCCCTGAAACAGCCGGAGTCCCCAATCCCTTTCCTCCTGGGCAGAGCGCACTCAGGATGTTTGGGTTACCCTGGGAGGCTTGTGGCAGGGAGGGAGACAAGGGAGTGGTTCCAGCTTGGGGGGGGGGGGGGGAGGGTGGTGGTGCTAAAACATCCCCACACACCCTGCCCTTACCCTTGGCGGCCACCTTGGACCCCACTCAGCAGGGGCTGGGACTGCAGTCATCACGGGGGGGGCAGGGGGAGCAAGCGGCCAGCTGTGCAGCCAGCTCCTTGAGTGACCCCAGGCCAGCCAGTCACACTCCGGGCTCCATGCAGCCCACCCCCACCCCTATGAACTTGGACTCAGCATCTGACACTTAACCCCAGTGAGCAGGTCTGACCCCAGCCCCCCAGCTCTGGGACAGTCTTAAACTCAGGCTTGGGAGTGGGCATTGGCCCCACTCACAGAAAGGCCAGGTGGAGTCGGGACTTCTCTGGCCTGCAGGGTGGTGTTAGTGAAAGGAAGACCAGCAATGGCTAGTTATGGAGTGCTGACCCACCACGCCTTAATTCCTCTAGCCTTCACAGCCCTCTCTGAGGAAGGCATTAACTGCACAGGAAGGTTGGCTGACGTGCCCAGGGCCACACAGCTAGCAAGCAGGTGGTGGAGGACACACAAGGCAGCTGGCCTGAGGGCCACTCCACTCTGCTTCCCCCCGTCTGCCTCTGCAGCTCAGCCTGAGCAGCCTGGGGCTCCGCTCTCAGGGTCCCTCCCCACAGCCATCTTCCTGACCAAGCTCCGGGAAGGTCCATTGCCAGGGTGACCCAGGAATGACCCTGGCAGGGAAGGTTGGCACGGGGAGGGGGAGTTCCAGCTCCGAGGGCTCTAGGCCTGGGTCTGAATCTCACCTCTGCCTCCCGTTAGCTCTGTGGCTTGAGCCACTCACAACTCCTGATTTGGTTCCCCAGCCTATAGAATGGGAGCGGTGGTCCTTGCCTGTTTCGGGCTTCATTACAAAGCATCCGTCACACAGGACTCACTGAGCTAGTGGAAGCCAGGCTGGCCTCAGGGCAGAGGCAGAAGGGGAGCAGAGGGCCCAAGTTGCAGGAACAGCTGGGGCCATTTGCCTGACTTGGACCCCCCACTTACCCAATGTTTAGTGAATTCTGTACGAGGTACACGTCTTGAAGGGGGTGTCCATTAAGGACGAGCACTGAACCCCACATCTGGGTGGACATGATGTCGACACAGACTGATGCGCTGAAGCGGAAGCAGGGTGTTTGGCAAGGACATGGCCTGACGCCCCCAAAGTCCCAGAACCTGGAGAGGTCCACGACCAGGCCCAGTTTGTGGCATGGAGAATAAAGTCAATCCTGTCTAGAATTTGGACATTTAGTTATTTATCAAAATTAGCCCTGCCCCCAGGTTAAGGATTCACATAGTTCCACGTGATTGTTAGAAGAAAAACAGCCGCCCTCCTGTAGCCACTTTTCCTCTCCCCAGAGGCGGCCACATGTGCCTCTTTGCTGATTACTTTGGTGTTTACCTTCGTGTCTCCAAATAAGGTGCTTGTGTTCCTGCTGCGCAGCTTGTCAGCTCTAGTCATAATCCGGGGATTTTCCGCTACAGAAGGTGAGAATTTAGCTCTTTCCTTCCCTGCCCCAACCACGCTCTCAACCATTCAGTGGTAATCTTGGTTGGCTCAGTTCTCAGCGTTGGCACCATGACAGCTCAGTGAATGTCATTCACAGACAAGACGGGAAAACTAACTTCTCATCTCCTACACACCTTCTGTTTTCCCTGGAGGTTTTTTTCGTTTGCTTAATTTTCAATAAATTTATTACTAATTTAGCCCCAAACTTTTTACCAAGTCTCTGAAGCTCGTCTTAAGGATCTTTGGACTCAACACACTCCCTAAGGGACTGGAAAAGATGCTAATCAATTAATTTTTTATTATGAGATCCTAGTATTTTACTTAGCCCCGTTATAATTTATAATTAATTCATGGTTATGTTTAGTGGAATATTCAGTAACAGGAAATATTAATACATATAACTGCATTTCTTTATTATGATTTGTACCATAATGTATATAACACTTTTTTTTTTTTGAGGACAATTAGCCCTGAGTTAACATCTGCTGCCAATCCTCCTCTTCTTGCTGAGGAAGACTGGCCCTGAGCTAAGATCCGTGCCCATCTTCCTCTACTTTCTACGTGGGATGCCTACCACAGCATGGCGTGCCAAGCGGTGCCATGTCTGCACCCGGGATCCGAACTGGTGAACCCCGGGCCACAGAAGCAGAACGTGCGCACCCAACCACTGTGCCACCAGGCCGGCCCTCATATAACACTTTCATTTAGGGAAAAATAACTACAGAAAAATTTTTTTTAAAAAAGATCTTTGGATTCTACAGATGTTCTGTCATTTTCATCTTCCTGAAGAACCTGTCCAGAGCCTTCTGACTACCCAAATGGAACTCCCTGTCTGAACTCTTGTCTCTTGGACCCATATCTTCCTGTTTCTTGATTTACTCCCTTGTTTTGGTGGAGCATATTCTGTAGTAGCTTTCTGAGAAAGGGATACAAATTTTTGAAAATCTGACATGCATGAAAATATTTTTATTCCACCTGCATGCTTAATTGATGGGTACAGAATTTGGATGGGTATAGAATTTGGGGGGCTGGGGAAAAATCCCCTTTCTTCCTGTGTTGTGTTCTTATGGCTGGACTAATAGTAAAATTGACACGAGACTAGATTAACAGGAGAAAACCCCAGTTTGACACGTACGTACCAGAGACCATAAGAATGGCACTCCAAGAGTGGACAAAGCAGGCAGTATATGTATCTTTTACTTGAAAACAATACATTTGTCAAGAATTGACAGGACAAAGAAACTTAGCTTTGGGGTAGGTAATGAGTGAGGAATTAAGCAGGGTTTAGGCTCGAGGTAGTAAATGAGCAAGGTGTGTCTACTCAGGCTTCTGGGCCCTGATTGCCCAGCCCTGGCGATGAGGATGCAGGGAGAGCACCTTCCACGTGGGAGACGGATGCCCTACTTTCAGGGGAACAGAGACAGGAGGGTCACAATGCCCTCTTTGCTTCTCAAGTAACTTTACTTCAAAACAGTCAATACGCTATTGAGGGATATATTGGGGTGGCCTGCCCTAGGCCCCAACAGATCCCTCCTCTGAAACTTCCCTGGAAGTTTCACATATTAAAATTGAGCTGGTAGATTGTTCTGTTATTTCACTGAATGAATCATTTACTCTTCAGTTCAGTTAAACAGTTGTGTCTCACTTCATGAGGCAGTGGTATAGGTGGGCTCCCAAATTACGGCTGTGGGGCAAGCAATCAGGGATTTAAGAGGAGGCCTTGGAAACAAAGAAAAACAATGCTTAATGGTTGTAGCAAATTATAAACCAGTTTCTGAGCCTAGAGGACACTCAGGCAAGATTTCTAGATGTCAAGGTCAAAGCATCATTTGTAGTTTGAAATGTCTTTGATGATGTCAGGATGTTCGGGTAAACTTTCTGATGGCTTACTCAGCAACAGGCAAAAAGATTGTTTAAACATGGGCTGTTGTGGCAGTCTCAAGTTTATATCAAGTCATTCAGCTTCAATTTGAAGGGCTTCAGGGAAAAAAAGGCAGCTTTAGTTCTTAACGATTCCAAGTCAAAAGGGGGAGAAAAACTGGAAACATTAGTTTGGAGATTGTAGCCAAATATTTGAAGAAATTAGGAGATTGAAAATTTAGTCCAGTGTTTAGGTAAATAAAAACTTCAAGGAAAATTAATAGCACTAGAATCTAATATTCACAAGTGTGTATTATAGTTTCTACTGAAACATAATTTTTCTCTGTAAAACAACCCTTATTTTATTAAAGATTTTCAAACTAAGACTAATTAAAGTTTGTAAAATAAATCTAGTTTCAGGGGCCAGCCTGGTGGCGCAGCAAAGTGCACATGTTCCACTTTGGTGGCCCAGGGTTCGGAAGTTCGGATCCCGGGTGCAGACATGGCACCACTTGGAAAGCCATGCTGTGGCAGGCATCCCACATGTAAAGCAGAGGAAGATGGGCACAGATGTTAGCTCAGGGCCAGGGCCAGTCTTCCTCAGCAAAAAGAGGAGGATTGCCCGCAGATGTTAGCTCAGGGCTAATCTTCCTAAAAAGAAAAAGTCTAGTTTCAATAAACTTGGTTTTTTGCATAATTACAGCAAGAATAATGATTGATCATACAGATTCTTTTAAAT